AAAAAGTGTGTAGGGTTTATTGGACCTAGAGTGCCTACCCTAGGGAAGCGAAGTGGCTTGGCCCTGAAATCACTGTTGTATTGTGCTGCTTCAGTTAATGGATACGAGAAGCTATGAGCATGCTACAGTGATCAGCCCTTGGTTAGCTTGTAATTCTAAGGCAACACCAAGTGAACTGGTTGAAACTAAACCAGAAAGATTTTATGGTCTCTGCAGTTCTAAGTACTTTGTTTTGAATAATTTACTGAATACTTTATCAGTGTTTTTTTGCTCCAAGGCATGAGGAAAAGGATTTTTAATTTTTATTTTTTTTTCACCCTTGAAAGGAATTAATAACCATAAATGATGTACGAAATGATCTTTGGTTCCTGAATAAAAATAGTTAACTTGAAAAGAGTGGACCAAAAGTTTTGATTTGGGTATTAGTTAGCCAAATCAATCTCTTACTTATTTTAAGAAATTCTTTGATAGTATAATGGCTTAAGGCATATTCACATTTATACTATAATTATCACATGGTGGAATTTAATCAGTTTTATATTGGGCTAATAAATAGATAGGTAAATGCCATATATAGCCTTAAGTAATTAAAACTTTTTCTGCCAATGGGGGATAGTGAATGATGTATGTAATCATGCATCAGTGTCCCAGTGGTAAAAAAGGGACAGTACAAAATGAAGATGATAAAACAGATGCATTACAGGAAATGCAATTTTGAAGCATTTTAATAGCATTAAGGACCTGATCTTCCTTTTTCTACTTCTGAAACCAAATATTTCTGTGTAATATGAAATAATTAACACACAACCAAATGTTGATTCTAGTGAATTTCATTCTGTTGCAGTTTGCTGCTGTTGTTGCAATTTGTAAAGAAAAAGAAAAAGTGTATCAATTATGAAGAGATATTTTAATGCAATGTTTTACAAATCTGTTTTTTTACTGTTGTTGGCGACTAGTAATTTGTATTATTTGAGAATGCTTTGTTTTCAGGCCTAGGTCACAGATTGCCTGATTGTGGCTAACACTTTTAGCACGCTTCTATCCTATAGATATGCTGTATCAGTAACTGTTACTCTTATTGTTATGTTTTTTGTGATCGAAATATCTGCTGATCAGTTTAGCATATGTACCATACTCTTCATAAGGCCATAGGGGAAATTTCCTAGCGACACAGTATTTTGTTTCCAACAGTGGCAAAAAGAGATAGTTTTTAGGAGAGCACACAGCCTGAGCTCTTATACAGCCTTGACATCTAGAATTGTTGTATTATGTTTTATCAGGGAATACAATCTTGATTAATCCTTTCAGTATTTGCTTATGCATGGGTTCATGAATTTCACAGAATGGTTGAGATTGGAGGGGACCTCTGGAGGTCATCTGATCCAACCCCCCTGCTCAAGAAGGGCCACCTAGAGCCAGTTGCTGAGGACCATGTGCAGGGAGTTTTTGAATATCTCCAAGGATGGAGACTCCATAATCTCTCTGGGCAAGCTGTGCTAGTGCTCGGTCACTCTCACAGTAAAAAAAAAGTTTTCTGATGTTCAGAGGGAATGTCCTGTGTTTCAGTTTGTGCCTGTTGCCTCTTGTCCTGTCACTGAGCACCACTGAAAATAGCCTGGCTCCATCTTCTTTACAGTCTCCCTTCAGGTATTTGTGTAGATTGATAAGATCCCCCTGAACCTTACCTTCTCTAGGCTGAATTGGTCCAATCCCTTTTTAAACATGCTGAAACTGTACGCCTTTTGCAACCTGTAGTGGCAGCATGTCCACTGGGCATAATGTGAAGAAACATCTGCTGCCTATTTGTGTGATGCTCTGTTCTATTAGTGTAGATTTTGGTACATAGCTGAATTTTCTGCGTTTGCTGTATGTGTTGCCTTCATGATTTCGCAAATTTTCATCATTTTCTTCTTCTCCTTGCCCCTCATCCGGCCTTCTCCTTAAGGGCCCCAGGATTTTAAGTACATCATTATTTTTTATGCTTAAAATGTTCTTGCAAATTTCATATACTTGTTTTCTATTTGCAGTAAAATCAACAATTTTCTTTTACAGAGTTTAGCCAAACACAATAGGAGTAACATTGGAACGGAAGGTGGCCCTCCCCCTTTTGTACCTTTTGGGCAGGTATAGTGTACTTCTCATTGTCATTTCATAAACCCTGTATTGTGATATCTAGGGGACCTGATTCTAGTTAGATAAAGGCTATCAATCATGGTGATGATGGATCATGCATCATGATGACTTGGATCTAAAAAATGTGCCTGTTTTTAAAAAATTGTGTTGATCCTGTCACTTTATTGTGTCAATTTATATTTAACATTTTTCCTTTCAATTTGAAACAAACTTTTATTTAGAATGGGGAGCCTTTGATTCTTTTGGTCAGATCTTGTAGGTGCTAACATAGTCCCTTCTTAAACGCCAAAGGTATTTACAAGAATCATATTAGCTATGTTATGAACTAAGCTTAAAATGTGAAGATCATTCTTTTTGGCCTTTCGAGTTGACTGGAGGAGTTTGCTTTCAGCAAAGACTACTAGATGTCCTGGGTGTACATTTTTTGTGATCATATTCTTTACCTAAAGTTGTGCTGCTCTAATGGAATAATACTTTATTTTTTTTCAAATAAGACTAGGCAGAAGAGTTAATTAAAACTTTCTTTTTGCACTTTCAGAAATGTGCATCTCACGTGCAAGTGGATAGCAGAGAGCTTGATCGCAGAAAGACTCTGCAAGTGACAAATACTGTAAAAACTGTTGTGGACAATGATGAATTTGAAAAGCAGAGAACAGCTGCTATCGCAGAAGTAACAAAGAGCAAGGAGGTTAGAATACATGTGTTGCAGCATTTTACTTACTGTGATTGATATTTTCTTGTTATTTTACATATATCTCTCTTAAATAAGAAATGCTTTCTGATGTTTGCCTGCAATAATTCTACTCCTGTATCTTTAAAAATATGAATAAAAAAGAGAGAGTCCTTTTGGTTTGATGGACATGTTCTTATTTTAATAAAGCTAATAAATGTATCATAGTGTTTTATTGCAGATATGATTTTGATTTGATACCACTATTAAAAAAGGTGGGTTTTACAATTTAGCTAATGAGATGTGAGTAATAAATGCAGGTTATCAGTTTTCATCTGCTTTTTCAATTCTCAAAAACTCATGATTCCCTGTATTCAGACTGAAAGAATAACTAGGAAGTTTAGTTGTAACGTCATTTTTTTATGTCCTCCCTTGGTTTTCCTTTTAGTTTCTTTTTCAGCTTTGCTTGGTAAGTCATAAAAACTAGAATTAGATACTCTTTTTACAGCCTCATTTGGGCACAGGGGAAAAAAATACCTACCTAATAGATTAATCTTTTTGTGTGTGTAAATCAGTGCTTTATTTGTTGATGCAAAGCATAATCATAAAAAATACCGTTGCATCAAATTTGCAACACTTTTTCTACTAGCTAAATATTAAGGCTTATTTTCATAAGTACTGTTTACTGAAATGTTATTTTTGTGCTTATCTAAAGACCAAGACTTTTGGAGGAGGTGGTGGTAGTAGCAGAAGTAATCTCAGTGTGAGTGCTGGAGGGAATCGAAACAGGGAACTGTTCCAGAAAGAGAAGATAACAAAACCTGAGGGAAAGAATGAAGGTGTCTACCGAGAACTGGTAAGGTGGAAGACTTAAATGGACCCTTAAATGTATACTATTAAAAAACAAAAAGCAAGTGTAACAAATCTAAACCCAAAAGACCCTGAGGAATAAGGACTTTCCTTTCAATTTATTTTGAAGTCTTTTTAGAATACTTAGGGTGCTCTTGTACCTTACTGACATAGTTATGTGATTTTTGTTAAAAAAATAAATAAATAACTTGATGTCATCTTACCCAGTAAAATTTAAAACCAGATACTCACAAAGGAAAAGTAGTAGTGTATGTGGTATAGGATGTTACAGTGTAGGGTTTTTTTTCTTGTTTAAATAAGCTTAGCAGTTTTGCGTGTTAATATTTATTAATTCATTTTAGGCAGGAAGACTTTCATCCTTCAATTTCGACACATCAAATAGTATTTTAATGTAGCTTTCCTTCTGAAGTAATATAGTATTTATTTTAAGGATTTGTTTTAAGCCCTTTCTTTGACGTTGAGAAAACTAAGTGGTACTCTGATATTTAAAATAACAAGGTAGAAATACTTATGTGACATGGGAATGTCATGCTTACATGGTCACAAGTAATGTTTCCTTTTGAGTAAGGTAGACTACCACTGGAGAATCTGAACTGTGCCCCTTAATCCAAACATCACCTTCCAATGTATTTTGTAACTTTACACTTACTGAGAAGCGTTCTTTGGGATCACTGCATTAAAGTGAATGAGTATAAGATAAGCAGCCATTGAAGTTCTGTTTTGATTACTTTAGCAATCTAAAAGTTTATGATAGAGAAAGTAATTGTTATCAAGAACAACCTTGGAGAGGAATTTCCAAGTATGCAATAACAATTACTGATTCTGATTTGAGTGATGAAAGCAGACTGAAAGAGGCATCAGAACAACACAGTACCTCGGTAAACCAGTATTAAAATATTGATTATAAATATCATTTATTGTTTAATATTTTCCACCTTATTGACTTTTACCAAAGACTTAACAATGAGAAGACATTTAGAAACAGTAACTGCCTGTTATGATTTTGTTTATACAGTATGTGTCATCATCTCAAAGCAAGGAGAGCCTCCAGCAGTACTGCCTTCAGCACTGTGCTCAGAAATCTCAATATAGAATTGTAGAAGCACAGGTTGGAAGGACCTCAAGAGGTCATTTAGTCATCCCTCTGCCCAGTGTAGCACCAGTGGTACACCTTGTCGTTCTTAAGAACTGTTTCTCGACCTAAATAGACTTAAAAAAAAAAAAAAAATCCCAAACAGACAGACAAAAGCCTTAACAAAAAAATAAAACCACACAGAGAAAATTTAAATTAGATAATTGCTTAAAGTATTGTGTTTTCTGTTTTTTTCTGTGAACTACAAGAAATTGGTCTTACATTGCACTGTAAAATGGCAGTACTTCCAACTTATGAAATTTACTATGTCATTTAACATATCTAGGTGCTGTTTAGAAGAAGCAAATGTCAACCCACTAAGCCTATATAGAAAGCCTTCTTTGGTTTTAAGTAATAATTTAGATCTTAAAGCAATAGATAATGAATTTGTTTTGTCCTTTTAGATTTGTGACATCAAGTAGATTTGATTGTTGATATTCAACATATATTGTTGACTTCTGAGAAACCTGAAGCACTGTATCTTTACCTACAAAACAAGAAAAAAAAGAAGTATTTTTTCCTGTTCATTCATAGACAGATAATAGATTGCAGAGGTCAATCATCCTCCTCTCTTAATAGTCCTTATAGGATATATCCTTATAGGATATGTCCTACTGTTTTCTTTGTCTTTCCAGTTTTATGTAGGAGAATCAAGTTTTGTGCTGTGTAAATGAAGTTGAAGGGAGAGTTTTTGACATCCAAAGATACTTAAGATACTATCTCCTTTCTCAAACAGTCTTTGTATCTGGGAAAGTGCCGTTCCCTTGGGTCTCAAATTGTGACCTATCCAAGACCTTTTTTTTTTTTTATCCTTAACTGAGAGTACAGGTACTGTATGTATGACTCTTCATATCCTACTGGTCTTTGAACGTGGCTGTCATGCACAGAATTTCCACCGTTGAAAGGAGGTGATGTGGCAGTAACAGCTAGAAATTTTCTTATCATCCAAATCATCTACTTAATTACAAAGAGGAGGAGAGTGAAGCAGATTTGCTGAGGAAGTACTTCTCTCTGTTGGACCATTGTTGCCATGCAGAAGAATCTAGGAGAATGGCCCAGAGGAGGAACTACTATATTCTGTCATTAGAAAAAAAGACATTATTTAGGCAACTTAAAGTCAAACTCAAGTGAGATGATTCCCTGTAGGCACTGAGGTCATGTTTCTGCCCACTGATCTTCAAAGACGTTTTAGATTGCTATTCCTTTACTTAGTTAGTCTTTGGACAGTTAAATTAAGAGTATTGTTGAGTTTAGGAATGAAGAAGGCTGCATGAAAGCACTGCAGTTAACATTGCTGAGCATGTGGGAGTTGTAGCCAAGCACTGCAAAGTCATGACTTGCCCGTCACAATGATTTTTGCATAGCTAAGCATCATTATGAAAGTTACTTGTTGTGTCTTCTGACTTACTGTATTGAGATACCTCTGTAATGAGATAGCAACCACAAACACTGATTTTGTGTCTCTGCCTCCAGAGGGACACCTGCTCTTATCTGTTGTCCCAGAGCACAGTGTGTAGCTGGAATTAAGACAAAAAGTGAATGTATTAAAACATCAGGAGAAATGAGGACTGGAGAAATTACATCATGAGACTGTAGAAAATAGGGGAGACGAAGGGTTAAACATTTGTCATATAACTCTCCTGCAGTTGTAATTTAAATTATTCTAGCAATAAAAGTTCGTGTTCTTCTAAGCAGTGGGAGAAAGAAGGGGTTGTGCATCTTAGAGGTTAAATTCCATTTGGTTTGTTCTGTTTTTTGGGTTTGGTTTTTTTTTTTTGGAGAGTCACAATATGACTATTTTGGAACCTGTAGACAAAATGTTATGTTCATGGGACTCCAATTAAGAATGTCTTTAGTTACAGCTGTCACAGTAGATGGACAACTGGTATCATTTTGGTTGGGTATGGGATGAGGAGGGACAAGAGGGCCTAGTACCATTTCATGTTTAGTGCATGTAGGTCTGTCCGCACTGGAGGAGGGAGTTCTCACTTGAGTGCTTTAAAGCACAGTGCAGATGTAACGTTATTTTCCTTAATTAATGCTATGTGATTCCTGCTTTGACTTTTTGTTGTCATGCCTTACACAGTTTAGAATAAGAAAGCCTGTATTTCTGCAGAAGTAAATTGTTTGTATTTCTTTGCTTTCTTCTACAGAACTTTTAGTGTTTATATTTTTTCTGTGTTTTAAGAAGTGTATAACTGGGTTTTGTACTGTCTGTAAAAGTTGTGAAAGGGTTCAAACAGGAACAAATAGCTAGTTTTTATACCAGTATTACTTTGAGAGATTCCTTTTCGTTTTCGTCTCAGAGAAGGTGGTCACAATCCATCACACTATTTCAGTGTACAGCAAAGGAAGAGGTAGACTAGGGGAATTTGTGCTTGAAACCGCATAATATTAGGACTGAAAACTGATGAATTAAAATAATAATAATAATAATAATAATAAAACACCTTCTATTAGCCAGTTGTTTGGATGTAAGAAAGATTGTATGTGAAGATTTTATATAAAACTGAAATATTAATCATCAAGGAAATATGAAATAGTGTTTCAATTAAAAATTAATGAAAAATTAAAGTAAAATCTGATGTTTTTATGGAGTCTCTGTTGTATCTTGTGATTAGTTCTGTGTGTACCTTTTATTTCAGGTTGATGAAAAGGCTCTAAAACACATAACAGAGATGGGTTTCAGCAAAGAAGCAGCAAGACAGGCACTTATGGATAACAGTAACAGCCTAGAGGCGGCATTAAATTTTCTTCTGAACAACAGTAAACAGAAACCCATTCAGGGACCACCACCTAGAGGTAAAACTTGCAAAGAAATGCTTTAAAACAGTGTTTACAAGCAAAGGAGTTTGTGTGTGGTGGATTACTAATGTAGTTATAGAAGGGCATATCTGCATGTTTTTTTTCTACAAGTTAGAATGCATTGCAAACCTGAAAGCAAATACTTAGAAAAGGCCTCTGTATATTCTATTCCTGTCAAAATTTTTGAATTTGAAGTCACAGATTTGAATATCCATAAATGGAAAATGTCTGTATCTCTTTTGTCCGTGATAGAATTTTTTAAAGACAGAAAATACAAACATTTCATTAGTCAAATAAAAAAGTGTGTACACTTTTTTTTATTTATTCCCCACTCACAAATAACTCTTGATGTTTACAGGTAAAGGGAAAGGCCGAGGCCGAATGAGACCTGAAGATGAAGAAGAGCTAGGAAACGCCAGACCATCTGCACCAAGCACACTGTTTGATTTCTTGGAATCCAAAATGGGTACTCTAACAGTAGAGGGTAAGTTATTGAACTTAATGTGTCTGGAACCAATATTGGACAGTGTTGGTGGAATTCTTTTTCCTAATTTTCTCATCTAAAAGGTGGTTCCTAGAACTTCCTCCACAGTCAGCCATAAAAAAACCCAAGGAGTGCTACAGAAATATTTCTCTCCTTTGAAGAAAGGTCAAATAAATCACACTGTGGTGGTTTGTACTTCTGTCTTGATTATAAAAGAGCTTAGAGTGTTTGTTTCAGGCTTAGATATCTAAAATCAGTAGTTTTGAAATTAGATGACATAAATCCCAGTTTGTTAATCTAATTTGATAAAGGCTTTTGCAACTTTAATGGAATTCTGTGTTGTTCAGAAGTAAAGAAGGAAAAAAAACATAACCACAGTCGTCCTTCCTCAGTTTATAAACAGCGTATTTTGCGTGCTGCCCAGTTAAGAGTTAGTAATTGTGGAAAGGTTAGTTTTGTATTCCCTCTCTGAAGGGGGAAAAAAAAATATCTTTTTGGCTACTGTGAAATATTAATCAACTATTTCTCCTGTTTTTCCTCTTTGGTAACTGTAAGGACTGAGGGAAAGATAGGTTTTTAGAAAGAGGGAAGCCAAATAATCCCTTAGATTTAATGCAAAAGGTCTGGGATTTTTCTTTAATGTCCTTATAGTTACTTTTCTTTATTAAGAAGCCATATGAGACTGTTGTCTATGCACCAGGATATCTGTTTAGGTCTAAATCATTCAATACAGTGGAAACTTTAACAGACAGATACGTTAAAAGAAAAAAAGACAAAACTCCATACATCCTGAGGTCTGTAAAGGCTGCTGTAAGACTTGCAGTAAGCTGAGCAATAAATGGAGATAATTTTTTCTTTTGGGTATGGCCTTGAAGGTGTTTCAGTGGCAAACATGAAATGAAAATGTCTGCTTCCATTATTTAATATGAAGATTTTGTGATGGAGTTGTAATTTTTTTCTCCCTATAAAGTAGCACTTTTCCTAAAGAGTGAAAAATAGGTCATACTAATTTATATGAACTGTTTGATATTTTGAGTTTTCTAAGGAATGACTGCATTTAAGGAATGACTGCGTTTATATGTAATTATTTTCTTAACTTAAGTCCAAAATAGTCTTTGTCGACTGTTACTAATGGACTTTTGCTTTGTTTATTTTTACTGGATTTGGGATATTTTAAAAAAAAAAAAAAAAGAGTAACATGCAAAAAGTGGAAAACAAGCTTGTAGAAAATAAAAGTGGACAGGTTGCCCTGCTGGGAAAGGTACAAACGGCTGTAATTTCAGTAGGCACCTGCATCTGAAATACAGGTAGAACATCGCCGTTGCTCTGGTTAGTCAAGTGAGAGATCTCTTGTTGAATGTATTATTTTTGTTTGTAGCTTATATGTATTAAAAATGTGTACATATCTGTCTTTTTTTGCTATAGCAGTGAAATTAATGTTAGTTGTGTTTGAGAGCCATTACTGAATTGGAAATGAAAACATGAAGCCATGTAGACTCTGCTAGTGCATCAAAACCCTAGTTTTCTGTGAGAATTATTAGGACTGTCTGTTTTCTATTAAATGCATAGCATTTGGTTTTTTTTCAAGAGTTATTTTTTGTTAGATATTTCGGAGCTTTGAAGCTGCACATTTACAGTTCCTACTTGCATAAGCAAGGTAGCATTTTGCATTACTGTATTCGAGTATTTTTTGCAGCCTGTAGCAACTAAAGGTCAGCACATTCAGGTGGAAGGAAACACAGCAGTCTAGAAATTCGGTTCTTGGAACTGTACAGAGGATGCCTTTATCCAAAAAAGAGGAAAGAGCAGCAAAGAAAAAGGACACGTTTTGTCATGGAAAACTTGCCTTGACAGATAGGCTCAGGAGTTAGTGAACCTGTTAGCAAACCCAGGGGTCTCTCGCTGCTGCTGGTAGAATTAGATGTACTGTGAGCCATTTTAGAATTCACGAAACATTTTTATTATGTGCTAAGGTTTAACTATGAACAGAAAAGCCTTTGCTTGTAAATGTGATAGCGTATTGTTCTTTTGATAGCAAATACTATATTTCTGCTGTACCTAGGCTGAGTTTCATTGCAACAGTGTCATTTTTTTTGTCTGCAAAATAAGTGATTTTAAATAGCTAAATATTGTTTTATATTTTAGTTGGATCTGGGTCTTACTAGAACAGTTTGTAGAAAGTCAACAAAAAAGTTACGATAGAGTTCCTTTTCTCATGTATGTTGTTTATAGTTTGTTTATGGTGAGTAGCCACAAGTTTATGGCTTTCTTTATGAAATGCAGTTAGTTGTAGATCGAACATTTATATCATGAGTGTTCACTGTATTTGTCAGAAATTTAAAATATTTAAAGAAAATACTTTTCAAATATGCAAGCATTCTGCATTAGTTGATACAGTTTTGTAAACTGTTCAGGTAATGAATATAATCACATTTTCAAAAGCATGTGTACGGAATTATGCTTGAGGTAAATCTTTTTGGCAACTCATTTTGCTTACCAAAGACGAGTTAGATTTTTACAGTGAACAGAAATTAAAACAGTGGTAGTGTTTGTCCCTCAGCTTATGAACACTGATTTTTTTTCTGTTTGGATAAGTTTTGTGGTTATATTGAGAGACTAGGGAAGGCTTTTATGTGTGACTGGAAGACATTTAAAGGAAAAGTAATAGAAATAATCCCTGTAGGATATATGCCTTTCTTATTGACAGCAATTTTATAGTACGTAAGTAATAGTGATTTACCAAGATTTATGAAATGAGTGAATTTCTTCTTTTAAAATGATATCTTAAATATATATTTAAATATATA